CCCCCAAACCCCCCCCCCCAGGGGTCTTTGTACAGAGCAACATTTTATAACCGCGGACTTTTGTAAAACAGCGAGCACTTTTTCAAAGCTGAACCTCAACAATAAAGAGCATCAGCGCAGCCCAGCTCGGGGCCGCACGCGTGTGTGGTGGGAACACGCGTGTGGCGGGGACTCGCTTGTGCAGCACGGACACGCATGTGCAGCAGGACACGCGTGTGCGGGGCGGGGAGGGCGGTGGCCCACAACCTGCAGAAGGCATCAGTCGTGTTTTGCCCTCCCGGCGCTTCCTGTTATTCCTCCGGCTGCATCTCCCGGCCCCGGTGGGGCCCAGCTGCCGGCTGCCGGGTCACCGCCGTGTCACCTCGCTCCCTGGGACCCCCCTCCTGTCCCGGGGCCGTGCAGGCGGGGGGACGAGGGGGCTCCTTCGCCTTTTGCAAGAGGTCGGGCAGCAGCTGTGCGGTGTCGGCGCTGGGGGGAGTGTGCCACGGGCAGCTCCTGTTGCCCACCCGCATCACGGGCTGAGCCTGCTTGGCGCCGTCCGGCTCACCAGCTGTTGGCAGCACCCGCCTCCGCGGCCGTGGGGTGCCTGGTGCCCCCCTGCAACCCCTGCGCTGCCCTGTCTCTCCCCCCGAACCGCTGCAGCCAGCTGATGTCCACCCACCCATCCCTCCCGCTGTCCATCTGTCCGTACGTCCTTCCACCCATCCTTCCAGACATCCCTCCATCCCTCTCGACCTGCACTCATCTTCCCCTCCATCTCAAGACTTGTCTGTCCATCCATCTCTCCATCCATCCACCCTTCCATATACTCTATCCCCACCTTCCTTCCCCAACCTCCCCCCCGACCCAAATTTTCCCTCCACCACCTTTTCCACCCATTTTTCTCTGCCCTCCCTCCTACCTCATCACCTCCCCAACCCAGGAGGGTCACACCAGGCTGTGGGGACAACCAGACCCTCGGGGGTCCCACGCTGTAGCTCTTCCCAACCTTTTGCCTCTTGGCCAGCTGAAGGCCCTTGAACCTCT